GTATGTCTGTGATTTGCGACTAGTAAACCTGTAGTTGGCGATACAAAGATATAAAGGGAGCAAAGCGAAATGCAGAATTATTTTAAGCCAATCGGAACTCACATTGGCAACAGTCGATAGTACTGCACACTGACTGCAATTTTTAATTAATTTAAAACAATTCTGGCATTCTGCTTTTCTGTTCTCTGTGTGAATCTTCTCTAATAGATGACGCTTTCTGTAAAATTAAAGTTCTATATTTCTATGATTATATTGAACTAACTATATTGAACTTAGGATGATATTTATTGTTATAATAAAGATTTATTTCAAGATGCTATGTAGCCAAAATAGTGTATCTTGAGACAAATTTCAGACAAAATATAAAGTTTGTATTTATACTTCAAAATATATACAAGATAAATTTAAAACTTATAAAAATCGGATATATAAGATAAATTTAAAACTTATAAAAATCGGATTATATATGAAAACTATCCTTAGTTTCCCCATTTTTTTTTTTATAAAATAAGTTTTTTTTTTAAATAAGTAATTTTAGTAATATAAATTTATGTTGACACAATATCGATGGTACAAAAGGCAGCAACATGATACGTTTTAGTTTGACATTCAGTATAATTGAAACTTTTTTCTGGTAAAACTGAATTCTGTTGCCAATATGTTTAAAAATAACTATGACTATGCTGTCAGTAAATAAGATAAAGTTGGCAGCATTGAAAATTACTGGTGCTGTGTTTCGTTTTTCCCACCAGTAAATCAACTGTCACTGTATCACAAAAAATAAGAAGAGGGCGTAAAACATAAAATATATATTATAATTATAGAAAAATGTATATTATTTAATATTTACAAATTATTTAATAGTTTCTTTAGTGACAGTGATGATATACAAAATATTTTATACAATAATAATAGAAAGGAAAGAAGAAAAGAGAAAGAACAGAAGTCTATAAATAATATATAATAAATATATATAATAAATATATATAATAAATTATATAATATATATATATAATAAATATTTATATATATATATATATATATATATATATATATATATATAATAAATATTTACAAAAAGTCAACTCTTTCAAAAGTTAACAAGCTAAACATGTTATCAAAGTTATGCTCCCCTGAGTAATATTAATAAAATTTTACTAGTAGCTCATTTTTTAAAAAGTTGTTAATAAAAAAAATAGTCACATAAACAGATACTAAAAGCAATATTAAACATTATTAGAATATTTATGGATAATTTATTTCTTGAAACTCGTTTATTTATTGTGATACCGCATTTATTGAACTGGGAGAAGTGAAATGTAACATCAGTAATTTTCAACTGCTAATTTGATTTTTTACTGGCCACAGCTATTTTCAAACATATCCGCAGCGAACAAATACATCGCTAACGTTATATTGTTCTTTCTATTAATCGCACTGTACGACCGTAGGCATACAAATCATTCGCTATATTCTTGAGTGTGAATTTCACATTCAAACAATTTTAAGATATATTACGTTCCGAAAGTCACAAAAAATAGCGGACAACTTTTCTGTTTACAAACTAGCATAATAACCTTAACATGTGATGCAAATAGATTAGAATTTTTTACTCGTATATACTGACGATGACAGTTTAAACAGTTATTCGCTGATGTTATAGAAGTTGACAATTAATATCATATATCTATTAGATATGTATAGTTATTTTTTAATTTCAAGCAAATGGTTGTGTAAAAATTTGAAAAAGTTAAAGAATATTTTATGAGCAGAGAAGAAGTAACAAGATATGTAATTTTCTTAGCTAATTTATGTATGTCATTAATTGGTATTAGAAGATATTTATTTTTTCCTATTAATGACAACTTAAATAAAATAACGAAATGATATATAAACGTTCTTATTTCTAAAAAGGACATGTAAATCTTCTCTATTATAGAGTCAAGAAATAGCATTAACATCATGATTCACCTCTCCAGAATTTATTAAATAGTATGTAAATTAATCTATATAAATTACCATATTTAAGTCAGTAATAGATTAATGATATATTCATGATTCTGTACAGATTTGCGATATTTAAATAATAATTATCTCTGTTATTTATTATTAATAAATTTATATATTTTTTTATTTTTATGGTGAGATTATTTCAACACTAATTGGGGTATTCACCTTATGTCACAAATTGAGACAAAACTAAACTGTTGTCACTAAATATATAGTACTATAATAGTAGTAATATAATATAATTAAAATCCCAAATATGCAAGTTTTCTAATCAATTTTATGTATGTGTATGTACTTAGTTTTTAACATATACATCATTAATTACTTTATTTATTTTTACAATGAGATTACTAAATCATTAATATGGACATTTATCTTATTTTGGTAGTAGTTGATGTACCACGGTAGCTGCGTCATATCAACCATATTACCACAAAAATAACTATACTAATCACAACTAAATATTTCTATCTATTTATCTGTACAACTCTTTCTTTTTTCGTAAAATTATATTGCGTGTTAACTTTTTATTTTCTATATCGAGTCTATCTCCACATTATGTTTCGTTCTAGTCAATTGTATAAAAAAATATAATTTTTAATTATTAACAATATAAATTATTGTTGTTATAATAAGTGTTATATTAGTTAAACATTAAAATATTAAACTCAAGCTACGCGATATTGTTGCAAGAATATCTAACAATTTAGTTTTGTCTCAATTTGTGACATAAGGCGAATACCTCAATTAGTGATCAAGTAATCTCATCATAAAAATAAAAAAAATATAAATTTATTAATAATAAATAATAGAGGTAATCATTATTTAAATATCGTAAATCGATACAGAATCATGAATATATCATTAATCTGACTTAAATATGGTAATTTATATAGACTAATTTACATACTATTTAATAAATTCTGGAGAGGTAAATCATGATATTAATGCTATTTCTTAACTCTATAATAAAGAAGATTTACATGTCTTCTTTAGAAATAGAAACATTTATATATCATTTCGTTATTTTATTTAAGTTGTCATTAATAGGAAAAAATAAATATCTTCTAATACCAATTAATGACATACATAAATTGACTAAGAAAATTACATACCTTGTTACTTCTTGTGCTCATAAAATATTTTTTAACTTTCACAACTTTGACATAACCATTTGCTTGAAATCTACGGATCAGTTGAGAAGAAAAACAATCCGAATCACAAAAGCTATTACGCCGGTATATTTACATACATTTGCTTCAACTTTTAGGTCGCTGTGAACTCTGTGCGTATCGTTATACATTCTTCTTATATCTTTCTATATTATATTTTTAAAGATTTTCTACATTATATTTTTAGAAATATCTTATGAGTCTCTTTCTCTTCATGTTGAACTTTGTAGAGTCATTCTGTTTTTGCCTCATCCTTTACCCGCAACAAATATTAATTGGAGTGTGCTTTTGTTTTTATTGTTACATCGCGCGCAATAAAAAATCAATGTTATTATTATTATTATTCAGCATTAAACGTTGTACGACTACTCCCCGAAATACGCCTCAGGTAAATGTGCTCTTTGTGCGTTACATTCAAGGCATGCGTAGAAAAAAGATACGAGATAAGAATTATTTGCACGAGTCGACAATCTCGCGTCGTTATCGCGCCCCACATGTTATTTTTGAATCTCCCGAGATATATACCGGAGAAGCGAGGTACGTAAAATCTCACTCGCGTTTTCGAGGATTACGACGCGCCTCGGATCCTCGGAATCGTAAAAATCGACGCTACCGGCGGGAAGTTTTAGTACCGTCGATAAAACCGCGACGCATGTACGTTGTTGGCAATGAATATATCGGCAGTATCCGATCCAAAATACTCGTTCTCGAATTCGGATTTAAGAGGGCAAACATTGTTTCGCGCGCGTTCAACACGATCGGACGTTACTAAGCATTATCAAAATTACAAGTTTATTAAGATCGAGAAAACGGAGACGGAGCAACACTCAAGGTGCGTCGAATATGTTTGTGCACTTTGACACATAAACGACATATACAATGTCGTTTGATCAAGCTCGATTCTTAGTTACTCGCGTTCTAAAATGTGACACAAACGCTCACATGTTTTATGAATAAAACAGATTATTTAAATTTTTATTGAAAATAGGATACTTTAATTTAGTAACATACAAAGTAATTGCATTAAATGCAAATTTTCGTATTTTTAGTAGTGCATCAAGGGAGCCAAATATAATTTATAATTGTCATTTATAATTTACTATTTATCACACAAAATTACATTTCTACAATATATTTCACTTTTTGCATTGTTATACGTGAAAACGAGAAATTGAAAAAAAATATATATACTCACAATATCACAAATATGGACAAACTATTTTTTTTAACATTCTTTTTTATTTTTTATGAGTATTTTATTCGTGCATTAGTTTGTTTAATAAAGATATACAAAAGGAATTATATAAGTATTCAAATGTGCATAATTATGCTATAAATTATATGTATGTCCTATAAATTATAAACTTTCCATCGTTGTATATTAAAAATAAAATGGCCAATAATTCTGAAATTTCTGTGTAATGTATATATATATTAGTCTTTAATATGCCACAATAGTTTTTCATCAAAAAATCTCACATATAGTTTAAAAGATATTAAAAATAGAAATTAAGAAAAGCATATTAACTTCAATAAACACGTATAAAAAGTAGCAACTTCAGCTGCAAATATCTCTGCTCTCGAATAATCAATCTTTTTCTGATTGCACAAGCAGTTATAATTAATATTTTACTACATAATGCAAGTTTCATTAAATTCTCACAGAACTCGTTTCATGATACAACTGCCTCGAACTTACAAGAAATTTAGTAAAATCTTTCGGTCTGAGATGCCGTACACAAGTAACGAAGCATTAATACCTCGTTAAGCCCGTCTTTGTTCTCTTCGCTATAAACATCCGATCATTCGAAAACTTACCTTGATGTCGAGGTGAGCTACGTTCAAGGAATGCAAAAATGCTATCCCGTCCAAAATCTGCTTTAACAATCTAGCGACTTGCCGTTCTTCCGGAACTTCATCCCGGTCGAGTATCATTTGTAATTCGCCACCAGGCGCCCTGTAGAAGTAAGAATTATCTGTCATGCGCAATTTGCACAATATTTATTGCAGTGTGTGATAAGTATTTCCGGATTTTCCAAGTGTAATGAAACAATTGTACTTTTATGTTGTTATAATTTTACGAAAAAATACATACGGATGATCACAGAAGATCATTCGTGCACACATTGCTTCATAAAATTATAACGATGTAAAAATACAATCATTTCATTTTATCTAAATAATCAGAGAAATTACTTATTAAGGTAAACGTCCCAGTGGTCGAACATACATGTCCCAATGATTGACATATTGGTTTTGTATTTTTCTTTGTTGAAATGCTTTTCAATATACAAAACAATATAATAAATATACAAAACAATATAATAAATAAAAAGAAATATTTAGTTACTTTGTGATATTATTTTATTTATTGATAAGCATCTTAACAAACACAAGTATATTATTAGTAATTTAATTATCGGTACACGTTTAATCACTAGGACGTTTACCTTATGTAATCCAATATATTTCATAGTGCAAGTGCTTCTATCCTTCTTCTTTTTCTTTTCTTTATTTTTTTCGCACGTGGCATATTCGAAAAGTAAAAATGCGAAAAAGTGAGATTTCCGACTTTCTTATAAATTTGAAATATTTGTCTCATAATCTTCTACTAATTCTTCTACTTCTTCTACTAATAAACAATTGATAGCACATGTTCTTTTCCTTAGAAAGTATATTAAAAGTTTTTATTAGATATTAACCTTTTCAGAACAGGAGATATCTTTTGATGTTCTAGCCTTTATATATGTATTCAGCCTTTATGTATGTACTTCAGAAACTATCAAATTCACAAAAATTGGTATATATATAGAGGTTTTCTGGGGTGCTCTTTCCAAATTTGAAGTAAAAAATATAAAATTCAAAATGGCGGATCAAATATAGTGATTTTTTAGATGCCAAATTAACATAACTCAATTTCCGTGGAACTTCATACTCTCTAAATTGAATATTTGAATTAGTGAAAATCTTGACTTATTTCGATATACGAACCATTTTCGCAAGGGTGAGCACAAATGAGCAGATGTGATCAGATCGAGTTAGATTTAAACATTTTTTCCTTGGTCGGCATTTTGAATTTCAAATATTCGATTTCAGTTCTCATAAAAGTATCTTTAAAAACTTTTATAGTTCAAATTTCACGGAAATTGAATGATATTTATAATATTTATTATTTTTTACGTCATATTGGGTTCGCCATCTTGGATCACAGAATTTTAAATATCTAAATACAGATTCGGATTCAACGAATCCAAAAATCGATAGAATACGTACTTCCCTATAATTATCTCCCCGAACAACCCCGTCTTGAAAGGGTAAATATCTAATTTAAAAATTAAAAAATTAAAAAATTCCAAATTTTTTAGTTATCGAAAATAAATAAAGTGATTTATGTTGATTTATAAGAGTAACTTAATATATAAACTTAAGTGTCTTAAATGGATCTATACTTGTTAAATACATTTTAACTTTATGTTTAATGAAACGGCTTACAATTTGAAAAAAATTTGTAATTAAATTTTTCTTATAAAATAAATTTTATAGGAATTAAACGAATTTTTGCGAACAAATATAATTATCATGAATGTATTAAATAAAATACAAGTAAAATAATTAGCCAAAATTTGATTGTAACAACGTGCAACTTTTCAAGTAATAATTCAAATAATTTTTCATATTGTTCACTATTAGAGTTTATTATTAACGTGAAATTCTGAATACAACCGGTATGTAAGAATTTACAAGAATTGATATTTTGACTAATGACTGTTTGATTTATGGAAAGTGGATGCATTATAACATCAAAATGTTCATAAATAAATTTATACCAAGTAATTTCCAATGCGTGCTATTGATTTAATCTTCTACACAATCTTAAAATTTCTATTTACGTAGTAATAAATGTAAAATACCAATAATTAAACGGTAGTTACTAAAAAAATATCTTTCATCGCGTATTATCTGTTTCAAATTATCGTGCGGCGGTATTTTAAATTTATTCAAATCAATTCAGTACATTACGAGTCGGGACGAATAAATGCTGTAATTTCGTGACTAATCCGCGCACGCGACATACATACACGTCTCGTATATTAAATCATAAGTTTGCATCTCGTCCTACTTTTTAAACAATTAATAAATATTACGACACGTAGAAAGTAACATGGCTACATACACGTGATCATAACCGTAGACTATCTCGTTATTCGATTGCGTTCACTTCCCTTTATCGTAACGCGAACAATTTCAATGTTTGCACGGATAAAATTATCGAAATATGATCACTAAATATGATAGCCAAATTGGCCATATTTTCATTGGAAGCAGTCCCGTAGAAAATAAAAGCATGCAAGAAATAGCGATTTCTTCGGTACACTTACAGCTCCAGCACAAGTACCATCTCAGTGTTGGTCTCAAAGACCTGGTGGAGGGAGACGAGGCGAGAACAATGGGCTGCGGCATCCAGTACCGCGACCTCGTGAAGCGCTTCCGCTCTGAGCTCTTGCGCGCGTCGTCGCTTCCTCAGGAACTTGGCGGCCCACTGCCTGCCGCTGGACCTCTCCCGGCATCTTCTGACCGTTGCGTATTTACCTCTGAAAAAGATACATCATACATCAATCTCGTAATCGTCATATTTGTATATGTGATAACAAAGAAACAGGGATAAAAATACTGTGACGATATATCGCGGTGAAAGTACACGACGAGAATATTATACTTTTGACCATATAGTCCAAGATGTCCCAGACCCTTCTTCGTAATTTTTGTAGAAACGTAGAAAAGATTGAGATAAACATAAAAGTTTCATATCATTTTGCGATATTCGTAATAAAACTCGAGATATTAAAGAAGATTAATGAATAATCACGCGAGATATGCTGTAGTGGCGCCGTCTGCCGTTGTATACTTATACATACTTATACATACAGTTAAGTCAAACTAAACAAAAAAGCCCTCTACTATTTTGCAAATAACTACACAGATTTTTAGATATTAATTAAAGAAGATTTTCGCATTATTGTGCATAATCGTATAACAATTTTCTTTCATTAACAACTAAAAATCTATAAGATTATTTGCAAAATAATAAAGGGCTTTTTGTTTATTTTGACCTAATGTACAAGCATACAATAGCACATGTCGCTACTACCTACTACTATTATAGCTTATCTACCATATCGCACGTGATTATTCATTAATCTTCTTTAATTAATATATCGGCTATTACTGCGAATATCACAAAAACGGTACGGGATTTTTATGTTCACCTCAATCTGTTCTATGTTCCCTCAAAAATTGCGAAGAAAAATCTGGGAAATACTGTATATAAATCCTTTTCAATTTTATCATGTTTTTCAATAGTGTGAGAATAGACTATCTGTAGAGTGTATATTGCTAAGAAACAGTAATTTTTTAAGGTTTTAATTCCTACAATCGATATACATCAACATTTTATTATAATAATAATTTTTATTATTGTCATTATCTTTATTAACAGAGAAAATAACTCCTCTCTAGTTATACAGTTCTTTGTATGAAAAAGAAATAAAGAGAAAGAAATAAAATAATACATAGAAAGAAAAGAGAAAGCGCAAGAGAAACATTCAGAATTGGAGCTCTGTTTCTCTCACAAGCGCGACCAATCGTAAAATTTCGTACTTCGGCAATTACATGGACGAGTACGCCAAACGAATTGGCCGCGCTCACTACTCGTCGCGGTACACTTTCGTTCATTAAAACGTCGATCATAGCGCGAGGCAATCCGGATGTTTCGTTTCGCCGAGCGAATAATTGAATTTCGTAACGTTAGGCGTGATCGTGACTTTACGGACGATCGCGGCGTGTATCTCCCGCGCGCTCGCCAATCGCAATAATTTGTTTCCGCGGCTGACGCCGCTAATAAAGACGTCTATAGGCAAATAATAATATCGCACGAGGAAGTCGTACACGCGTAAAACGATCGGTCGCTTTCACTTTTTCCGCTAATAACGCGCTTGATTCCTCCCTTGCTTGATTATAGAGGAAAAACGTACGCCGAGCGATTTTCGTCGCGGAAATGTCGCCTCTTTTTGCACTCCGTCGCCATCGTCGTCACAGCGTCGAGGGTTACGCAAAGTTGGGAAATAACGCGTTACGGATAACTCACTACCGCGTACGCGCGCCGCGCGTTACAAGTTACTTTTTCCTGATAACGATTTGGTAATTGCGTTATTTCCTTTTTCTTTTGTAGTAACTGTAACAGTAACGTAGTTTTATTTTTTGAGTAACGGTAACGAATTAAACAATTATTTTAATCGTTACTTTGTATATACATCTCAAGTATATCAATAAAAAAATATTACATTGCCCATTGAATAATTATGAGTTTGTACTGATAATACTGAAAATCTATAATAAGTTTGTACTATAATGTGAACTATGGATTTACGATACTGTCAATACATTTTGGAATGTAATCCAACTTCTTACGTTAAGAGTACGGTTCTTTTGAAATTTTAACTTCCTAAATATTACATAATTTTTTATTAAATACAACATAGCATTTCCAAGTAATGCTTCCAATGTAATGATTTTTCAATGTTCCGTATTAATATCATAGAGAAGAGAGAGAGAGAGAGAGAGAGAGAGAGAGAGAGGGGATATCTTCAACGATACGATGAAGCATCAATTCATAATAAAAGTTAATAAAAATTGTTGGTAAAAGTCGATGAACTTATATATTTAACTAAAACTAATTATAAATGTAACTTATTATCTTTAACCCAGATTTATATTAACAAAATAACGAAAATAGTAACAATTCGTTACTTTTTGAACAACGGTAACGATAACGAATTTTCAAAATTAGTAACAATAACGGGAACAAGTTACTTTTTGTGATCAGTAACAAGTAACGGTGACTAGTTACTTTTAAAAAATTACTTTCTCAACTCTGGCTACTGCTACTGTTCGTTACGCGACCATAACAAACGACATTCGCACCAAAAATACAAGTAATCAATTACTTTCTTAATTAATTATTGTATTTAATTAACAATTAATATGAGTGAATTCAATTGGAGATCATTTAACTGACAATTTTAACAAATTCAATCGAAAATCGTTCGATTGACGATCGATATGAGCGAAAAGAATTCAAGATCGTTTAATTAATGATTGAACTTGATAAATGTAATTAAAGACCGTTTAATTGACGATTGAACTTAGCAAATGAAATTAAAGATCATTTAATTGATGGTTGATCTGAATAAATTCAATAGATTCAATCGAGGATTGCTCAGTGACGATTGATATAATCAGTATCTCTCCCCCTTCCCTCAACACGAGTCTAACGCTTTTCAATCATCGGCATCTTCCACGATGTCATAATGCTCCGCGTATAAGTATTATCTACGAAATCAATCGTAACCTTGAGTAGTCAAACGTTTTTCCATTGAATCGATTGAATTTACTCATTGATCGTCAATTAAGTGGTCTTTAATTACATTTGTTAGGTTCAATGGAACGATATTTAATTCCCTTCGCTCATACCAATCGTCAATTGAGCGGTCTTTAATTGCATTTGTTGAAATCAATCATCCATTAAATATTCTTCGATTAGTTTTGCTCAAATCATTCGGCAGTTAGTTGAATCGAGACATATTTGTTCAATTATTAAATTAAGAAAAATTTCCTTGATATTTTTACAAATTCGATATATATTATATCGTCCCGAACAGTGAGGTATGCTGCAGCGAAAAGTAATGAGAATCGCGACGCTTCAACATTACATACGTAATGTGTAATACGTACAAATATTCTTTGCCGCGTGTCACTGCGTAAGTGCGAAACGGACGACAAATTGCGACCGTAAATTAGAAGCCGAGATTGAAACGCGGATTCGAACGCTCTCGCGATTGATTGCAATATCACGGGAAAGTATTGAATTCCGCGATTTGATTGCAAAACCATTCTCAATTATGTAGGGACGAGAGCGACCTACATACGAAGTATACGTTAGATATATAATACATGCATAGTATGCGCGCTCGCGCTTGTGTGTGTGCATGCAAGGGACACTTAGGTTGAATCATCCTGGCGAGAGTGTAACACGATATAAACGTAGATATTTAAATAGAACGATACCTTTGCGTGTAATAATACGAACGAATGTAATAATACGGTTATCACAATTTCAGCGTTATACGCGAGAGATTGCGTAAGTTTCAAGGGTTATGTATACCATTCGCGCAAGTCTCGCATACTTGGAATTATTGTAGCCTGAGTACCGCCGTTTATGTCACGGTAGAATTCTGAAGCGACCTAACCGTCCACATGCAACTTATCGATTTTCATTTTCCCGAGACCACGTTGCATCAAAATACATTGTTTTGATATCTTATCGGGAATATTATAGAGCTTTTGACTAAAACAACGCGAGATCGCTTTCCAAGGACGAAGAACGCAGACGATGAAGTGATACAAAGACAAATTGTTAGTGTAATGCAAAAAAGAAATGTTCAAGTTTCTTAACCTGTCATCAAAAAAGTGGGGTCTGAGAGAACCCCTCGCATTCTACTTTGTTCTCTTTAAATTTTTATCTCTTTCTTTTAATATCTTCAGAACTTTTTTTGTAAGCTATTATTAAATCTCATTATTTCACAAAATTATGAGAGATATTATAAGATTTATTAGAATTATAAGAAAATATAAAAAAAAGAAAGAAAAAAATTCACCAAATTCCACCTTTCCAATAACGGATTAAGATTATTTAAACAGCATTATATCAAATCTTTTTAGTAAAATGATGACAAGCGGTAATGATGTGAATCTTCTAACAAACCATTATCTAAAGAATCTGTAATAACTTGCCACTTATTTTATGAAAATAAATGAAATATATTGTTTTACTTGTGACCACGATGTAAGGACAAAGAGATGCGGGACAAAATTAACTCGGACTTATATAGAAAATTTCTTCAAATTAACTTTGTTAAATGTTTAAACTGATTCAAAGATTGAGAATTCAGGAAACAAAGGATCTTTCGATTATGTACAACGCATATGTTCTAATATGAATTTTCCTTTCGCGCTGTTTTCCTTTTCCTTATATCATACTTTCTGCACAATTGGTTATATAACCAAAGAAATTACATAATTTTCTGGAGAATGATTAATAATAATTCGATAATAATAACAATAATATGTCTAATAATCGCTAGGCTACGTGTACAAAATTCCACTGGACGTGGACTCTCACTCGCGGCTCACGAGAAGCCGCCGTAATCCGACGATCTAAACAACCGCTAGAAAGCGAACTCACTAGAGCAATGCACCGGCCGCGCGACGCGACGGCTGCTGCTGCTCCTCGTGGACGATTAGATCCGCGGGCCTAAATTCGAGCAGCGGCAGTGAAAGCACGCGTGTCTATTACGTAAAGAGCTTGCCGTTCGAGGAAGTATCTCGAAATCGCGTTCGGAAGCGGAGCTTTGCACTGGTAATGGATACGCGAACGACATCCGTTTTCCTGACTCCGGCTGTCCGAGACTCGTCTCGTTCGCTCGACGTAGTATTAGGACCTTAACTTAGTTTCCGCCCGCAAATGTTAGATGGC